GCAGCGGCAGGCGCGGCGCCTCGACGGCGTCAAAGCCAACCTCGACCGAGTGAGGCGAGAGCTGCGCGGCGCCCCCGGCCGACGGCTGGCCGTAGAAGTAGTTTCGCAGCCGCACCGCGTGGGCGGCGGCGCGGTCCGCGTCGGTGCGCGCCACCGCGCCTGTGGACATGTGTGGACAGCGGGGTTGCCGCCGGGGGCCCGTCAGTGGCTGGGCGAGCAGCAGCCCGTCAGTGGCTGGGCGAGCAGCAGCCCGTCAGTGGCTGGGCGAGCAGCAGCCCGTCAGTGGCTGGGCGAGCAGCAGCTCGGCGAGCCGCCCGCCCGCCCGGGCCCTGGTGCCGGACTAGTGCGCGTCTCGGCGCCATCTCGGCGCCATCTCGGCGCCATCTCGGCGCATCTCGGCTCATCTCGCGCCGCCCGAGCGGGGGAGCTTGAGGACCTCGAGCTTGGACGCGAGGGAGGGAGCGAGCGAGAGGAGCTGCGGTGGCGGCCGGTCGGCGGTCAGCCTCTCTCGACCTCGCGGAGTGCCGTCTCTCCCTTCCACGCGCACACTCCACGGGCAGGGACCTGGGAGTGGAGCCGGTCGTCCCCGATGACGACGCACACGTCGACGGCGAGCTCCGAGATCTGCCCCGCGAGCGCGTCGTACCTGACCGCGAAGACCAAAGAAGTGAAGTGGCTCCCCCGCCGGCGCGGCGCCGTGGCCAGCCCCGCAGTGACGCTCGCCCCCTCCGATCTGGACCGATCTCGACCGATCTCGACCGATCTCGCCCAAATCCGCCCGCACACAGCACTCTTCGAGCGCGCGCACACACACATGTCGGGGGAAGGGCTGGAGGCACCCGGCTGCTCCCGGCTGCTCTCGGCTGCTCCCGGCTGCTCCCGGCTGCTCCCGGCTGCTCCCGGCTGCTCTAGGTCAATCTCGGGCGGACTTCTCACCCGCCCCCGTCGACCCAGCTGCAGCCCGAGGCGACGAAGCCGGAGTGCCGCGTCCCCGCGTGCTCCTCACCCCTCCTCCGCACCGCCTCGCCGAGCCTGCCAGGAGGGGCGGGAGGGCAGGAGGGGCGGAGGGCTGGGTCGGGGGCGGAAGCAGCAGCAGGGAGGGCGCCGTGGCGCGTGGAGCTCGCCTCTCAGTCACGTGGCGGTAGTGCAGCGCCGCCTCTGCCGGAGACGCGCTCCCTGCGAGGGCCGCGGGGCCAGCTCTCACACCAGTCCTCACACCCGTCCCCACACCCGTCCTCACACGACTGCCTCGCAGGAGGCGGAGGGCGATAGGCGGAGGGCCGTGTCTGAGGGGGGGGGGGGGGGGGCGGAAGGCCCCCGGAGGGGCCCCCCCAACCAAAAGGCGAACGGGGCGAGGTCCTCCGTCCCGGGCTCCACGTCCAGGGGCCCCCCCATCCCCCGGGCCCTAATGGAGCCTGCGGCGACCAAAGGCGAGGGCCCGCGGAACCCCAGTGAGCCGCAGCGAGTGCCAGAGGTTCGCCGCGGCGTGTGGTGCGCAGTCCTGGAGGCCCGATGTGGCCGTGCGACGGGTCGAGCTCGACGAGGAGAGGGCCGTCGCCGCGCCGCGCAGCCCAGTTGGCGAGCATGCGGCACAGCGCCGCCTTGCCGCTGCCTGCGCCGCCCGCCACGATCACCCGCGGCCCGTGCGTGTCCGCCTGGCGCGCCGCCGCGCGCCGAGCGTCGAGATCGGTGTGCAGCCGGAGGTACGCGTCCATCGGAGTCTCGGACGCAACGTACGCGTGCTGACACCCGCCGTCGAGCTCAAAGGTGCAGCCGTGCCACGTGTAGACAGCCTCATGCGTCGGCCCGGTGAAGGCGTACGGGCGCTGCGGAGCGAGCTCGGCGCCAAACATCTCGGCGCTGCCCGAGGTGAGGCGGAGCGTGACCACGGCGCCGGCGGCGACCTCGAAGCGGTACTCTTGCGAGGCGCTGAGCGAGGTGGTGGCCATGGCCCACAAGGGAAGAAGAAGAAAATTCCGCCCCCAGGAAGAAAATTTTACTTTTTTTGGCTGTAAGCGAACGGTTGCTCGCACATTTTTCTTATTATCTTCTCCCAGGTGAGGAAGTTGTCGCCCTCAGCCCCTCAGCCTGCATGATCATCTACGCGCTTGTCGCGCGCGGCACCTGCGTGCTCGCCGAGCACACCGCCACCGCGGGCAACTTTGCTCTCGTTACGCGCCGCATACTCGAGCGGCTGCCGCAAGAGGAGGGCCGGGCCAGCTACTCATACGACACGTCGCACTCCTTTCACTGCGTGATAAGGGCGGGCCTGGCGTTCCTCTGCATGGCCGACTCGCGCACGGAGCAGGCCGCCGCGCACGCCTTTCTCGACGCGGTGCAGTCTCGGTGGAGCGCGGCGTACGCCGAGAAGGGGCTCACGGCGCTCGCGTACGCCATGAACAGTCAGTTCGCCGCCGTGCTAAAGGAGCTGATGGAGAGCTTCTCGTCGGCGGCCGGCAGCAGCGCCGGCGGGGCGGCCGCCTCTTCCTCGGACCAGGCCGACGCGGCAAATGTCTCGCGCGTCGAGGGCGAACTCGAGGAGGTGCGGCAGGTGATGGTCGAAAACATAGAAAAGGTCTTAAAAAGAGCGCGAGATTGCGCGAGATTGCACGAGGTTGCACTAGATTGCACGAGGTTGCACGAACAGGTGCTCGCGCGCGGCGAGAAGATCGAGTTGCTGGTGGACAAGACGGAGCACCTCACGCACCAGGCCTTTCAGTTCCGACGCACCACTACACGCGTCAAGCGGGGCATGTACTGCAAGAGCCTGAAGCTCAACCTCTTCCTCTGCACCCTGCTCCTCCTCGCGATCGGCGCCGGTGTGCTGGTTGGTCGGCGCGCGGCCGCACACCACCCGCAGGCGGGAGGCGGCGACGATGACTCCGCGAGCGCGGCACTCGCTGCAGAACCGCTCGCGGAACGCAGGCCCGGCCTTGCGCGGCATCTGGAACGAGGGCAGCGCCAATGGGTGGCCGCAGCACCGGGTGGTGAACCAGGTTTGCTCTTCGACGGGGCCTCCCCTCGTGATCCTGCGGGAAGAGACGACGGCGACTTTCGCCGGCCTCGCGGCGATGCCGCCCGGGGAGAGCGGCTGGGTTAGGTTTCGCGTCGGGCGAACCCTCGAGCCGCTGATAGGACTGCCCGCGACGCCAGAGCCGCCGCGGATGCGCTGGCAGCCCGCGTGTGCAGCGCCGAGCGCGGCATCGCCAGGCGTCTCCTGCGCGCCCGCGGCCTCGGGTCCACTCCTTGCAAGCATGTGTGTGTTGCCTGCTGTGCATGTGTCGCACTTGTCGCGTGAGGTCAGAGCGGAGTCGTGTGCGGAGACCCGCCGCAGTGTGGAGTGTGTGCTGAGAGTGTGTGAGACGGGGAGGCGACGGCCGCGGAGAGGGCGGCGTGGCAGAGAGGGCACCCTGCAGGGAGGGGAGAGGGGTGCTTTCTTAGCTTAAACCCCGCAGCGCCTGCACAGAGAGTGGGCACTCCACAAACTGCACGCGGTACCCGTGATATGCGCCCCTGTTGTCCACATACCGGACTGCGGGGCCGTAGCGCCGGTCCCGGGGCTCCCGGTTGTCCTTGGGTAGCAGCGGCCGCATCCTCTGCCACAGCAGGCGCAGGCCGAATGCAGGCCCCATCGTAAAGCCGAGCGCCTCGGCCAGCGGCTGCAGCCGCAGGAAGAGGTGCACAGCGTCCTCCGGATCGGAGGAAGCTGTAACCTCGGTTCCCTCGCATAGCCGCACCCGCCGCTTGCCGCCCCGCAGCAGCGTCCGCGAGTCGTGCATCTGCGGCTCCATCAGCTCGACCATCGCGTCGACGGGCGCGCCAGCAGCGAGCTGCGCGAGGTCGCGGTCAAAGACAGAGATGCCGAGCGAGACGCGAGCCTCGCTCGAGCCAGCCGCCCTCATGTGCTGCAGCCAGATGCGCGGGACGCGCTGCGGCTGAAGGAGGATCCACAGGTGCGCGTCCTCGTTGCGGGGCGGGCCGTTCGGGTTGTAGATGAAGTGCGCTCGCACCGGCGGCGGCGGCAGCGCCGAGCCGCGCGGTGGCGCCATCCGGTGCGCCAACTCGTACGCCCGGCTCACCTGCGATGACGAGTAGTCGTCGCCATCGCGGCCGCTGGCTTCCAGCTGCGTACGCAGCTCGGCCGCGCTGCAGAAGCCTGCCATTCGGACGCCGAACGACCACAGGGGCTCTGTCGCGGGAGATCAAAGAAGAATCGGGAGCTCGCGTGGCGAGCTTTTTCTTGCGGGGCTGTGACAGCAGGTGTAGGCCTGCCGAGCGCCAATGGGCGGCGGGCGCAGGTGCAACCGCGGACGCCAACGGGACTTGGTGTCGTTCTACCGGCAGCAGCGCTCCCGCTCCGCCAGCCCGATCGTTCCGATCGGTGCGGGCGCGTTGCCGCCGCTCGCTACTTTGCGCGCGCCCGAGCACGCCGTTCCGCCCGCCCTGCTTGACCTCTCCGACCGCTTTCCCACAAAAACCCGGATAGCCGTCGACCGGCTGTCTGGTCTCGCGGGGCGCGTGCTCGGCGGCTGCGACGCCGACGTCATCTGGGAGTGGCTGCGGGATAACAAGGGGGCTCTTCAGGGCGTGCGGAGGGCGGTGCTCTCAGACTGCGGACGCTACGCGGTTGTGCGTGACAACATCATACACATCCTGTGCGAGCTGCTCGAGCCGCCCTTTGACTCGCTGCGCAAGCGGGCGGAGAGCCTGCGCACACTAACGGACGATAAACTGATCCTCTGGGACGCCGCGCCCGCCGCTAGTCGCGAGTGGGTCGAGGTAGTCGTCCTCGACGCGATTCGGGTGCTCGCGAAGGCCCACTGTGAGCTGGCGATGGACCACATCGCGGCCACCGACCCGCAGACTGCCACCGCGTGCGCTCTCTGCGAGCGAGACGTGTACTCGGACGGGGTAAGGCCTACCCCGCTCCCTGTGCATCGGCGACGGGGGTCCCCGTTTGGGTGGGCTGTTTGAGGTGGGGTGGGTGGGTGAGGGCTCCGCCCTGGGAGGAGCCGGGTGGGTGCGTTCACGCGAGCCGGGCGCCGCCGGGCCGAGTCTCGTCGCCCTGCTTTCGCCACCGTCTCCCCCGCCACCCGCCCCCTCCCTCTC